GTGCTTATGGTGCTTAATATGCAGGAAAGTGTTCTTCTTGCTGGTAGAAAGTCTGGTATTAAAGAGGTCTCCCAAGTAATTCTCTTGTCGATCCCTACACTAAATAGACACACTGGGCCACTGTCCTATAGTTTAGAATCGAAGACCCAACCAGGCTTGAGTGGACATTTCACTAAAGAAATGATCAAAATAATGAATAGGCACAGGAAAAAATACTCAATTCCACCATTCATTGGAAAAAATGGCTAATGAAGACCACAGTGATTGCGCCAAGGTACCGCAAATGCTCACCGGAAGGGCTAAAATGTAAAATCCTGACCACAGCAAAGGTCAGCAAGGATAAGAAGCTACTAGAATCCTCTAATGTTTGGAGGGGAATGTGAATTGGAATAGCCACGTGGGAAAGTGTTTCATAGGGTCAACTAAGCCTAAATATGAGTATGTGCTCCTTGCCAGTGACTTTATCCCAGATAGAGCCCTCTAATGCAGCATGTTGTATCCCCCAAAATGTGTACATGTGCGACACTGTCCATGACACATTATTTGTAGGAACCAAAACAGAAATAACCCAAGTGCTCATAAAATTAACCAGGGAAAATTAATTGCTTCAGAGCCATACAGCCATGAGACAGTTAATCGTGACTGTTAGCTTGCTCGAACTGACAAGCACCTAGCAGATTAGGAAAGCACATTTCTGGGTGTGCCCAGGGGGTGTTGCCAGAGATGATGGGCACGTAGGTCAGCAAATTGGGTGGGAGACCTACCCTGATAGTGGGTGGCACCATCCAATGAGCCTATAACTCAGGTGGAACAGCAAGAGAAAGAAGAAAGGAGTAATCCTGTGCCTGCAAGCTCCATTCTGTTTGAACGGGTGTACCCTTTGCTGCTGCCTTTCCCTGTGACGCTCAGACTCCAGTCTTCCAACATGGACTCGCACCAGCAACTTTCCGCAGAGCTTCCAGGTCTTTATTCATGGACAGAGGCTGCATCCTTAGTCCCTCTGTTCTGAGCCTTCTAGCTTCTTGGACAAAGTAGTCTGTGGGTCCTCTGAGTCTCCAACATAAAAACAGTCGTGGACTATGCTAGTCCTATAAGCCACTGATCCTTTAAGTGAATCTGCCTAATCACTTTTTCATATATATATACATATATATGTAATCACTTTTTCATATATATATATATATATATATATATATATATATATATTCAATTTTATTCCTCTAGAGAGCCCTAAGCAATATAAATGATTATTCGGGAATAAAAAGGAACAAAGCCCATGGACTAATGGAGCTACATAGACTAATCTCACAGGCAAAATGATGAGTGAAAAAAGTCACAAGCAGAAGATTTCATAAGTAAAATTAATCTATGGTGACAGAAATGATGATGGTGGATTCCGGGTAGGGGATTTTACTTTAATTACTAGATGGGATGTAAGGGAGACTGACTGGGTTCTGGAAGTGCTCTGGCTGTCTGGATTTGGGTGGGACAGAGATACAGATAGAGATGGTATAGAGTCATAGGGTATCACCCAGGATAAACAAAGGTAAATAGAATCACCTTACACTCCCCTGGCTGGATGATGCTGGATGGGTTTCCTTTGGCCTCATATCTGTTTTCTTTTCTATTTATTTATTTATTTATTTTCATTTTATGTATTTGGTACAGGGTCTCACTACACAGCTGGGACTCTTAGTGAGCCTCCTGTTTCAGCCTCCACAGTGCTGGGATTACAGGCATGCACCACCATGCCCAGACTCAGTCAGAGGGATGTGGGATCAGGGATCAAACCTTGGTCCCCACACTTGCCAAAGCAGGCACTTAGCCCACTGAGCTATCTTGCCAGCCCTTACATCCCTGTTTTCAAGAAGTCAACAAGCCAGTCTCAGGTAGGGAGGGGATGGACTGTACTATGTAAAAGAAGGGCCACAGGAGAGAACAACAAAATCCTCACTGTAGGTACAAAAAGTGCTCCAGAGGTGGTAGTGTTGTAGCTGGGCCTCAAATGATGAGAATCTGTGTGAGAGAGGAAGACAGGGTACTCCCAGCAGAGAGCAGAACACTATCAACGGTGCTGTTAGGCAGCTTCCAACAACATGGCAAACGCATAAGTTAAATGAAGGAAAGATGTGTGTTGGCCCTTGATGTCAGAGGCTCAGTCCGTGGCCACATGGCCCCGTGCTGTGCACCTGTGGAGAGGCATGAGGCAGAGGGCACAAGGCAGAGCAAAAGTGCTCATCACATGGTGGCCAGAAAGCAGGAAGAAGTAGCAAGGATGGGTCCCAGGACCACTTCAAGGGTGCACCCTGAGGACTTACTGCCGGTGAGGTTCTGCCACCTCCATCAGCTTCACCAGCACATGAGTGAGTTGGGAGACAACTAAGATCCAAGCCACAGAAGGTATGTGACGTAACAAGGGTGAAGGGATGTGAAGCTCACCTAAGAGGAGCCCAAGGGGAAACATAGGTTAGGTACATACACGCTGTCCTTAGGGGCCAACAGTACATATTCTGGACATGGAAGATGCCACAGAGTGGGTTCATGGGGAGACACAGCCTGCGTCAGGGAATGCATACAGATTAGTGGCGGAGACGTTGTAGTTAGGTATAAAAAGGAATAAATAATACAGGCCACATAATTTTTAAGATTATTTTATAATAGTCACCCAAAATGTCAAATGCAGAAGGGTGCAATAGATCTGCCCAAGCATTACAGACCCCAGAATCCAGCTGAGGGCCTAGATCTCACAGCAAAGTCCTCCATGAGTCCAGCTGGAGGCCTCGAGCCCATGACCATGTCTCAGGCAAGTCTGTTTCTAGGATCTGCACGAAGGCCAGGAGTGGAAGACAGAAAGTCTGTGCCAGGGGGGTGAGGGATCTGAGCTGGAGCTGGAAGTATGCTTAAAGTATGGACAAGAGCTCCCCTGAGGAGAACTGCAACTGTCCTCAGCCACAATGGGGACCTGAGCACCTCAGACAGTGACAACCGCCGAGTTCGTAGCAGCAAAGCCCCCGTGACAAGCTTCTCCCGGAGAACCAGCAGCACCATTTTCCCCGCCAAGTAAAAGTTCTCCTTTCATGCTGCTGGCAACGATCTTCAAGTGGCCTTTCACACACAACACCACACTGCCTCAGTTTAGCTGAGAGTTACAAGCTGAATATTAAATAGACCACCACAAGAAGAAATAGTTAGTTTATCTCCACACCAGCTGGCCCAAACTGAGAATGTGCCCCATTTCTCAGATGAAGTAAGATCTATGACTTTGCCCTGAGATAGGCCCAATCTTCCTCCATCCCGTACCCCAAGGAGTATGACTTTACCTATCCCAGTGGTATATTTCTGGGATTGTCAGCTCTGGCTCTGAAAGTGATACCTTTTAATCTATCATATGCCCAAAGATTCAGACCCAAAGAAATGAGTCATCAAATACAAAATTAGAAGCATGGGGTTAATACCAGGTTGAAGCTGTAGCTCCCTACAATCTCATTTAAAATGTCTCTGTGGATAACAGCAAACAAAAATGCTTGTAGTCATTCAGCCCAAATGCTGCTCTGAAGCTATGCGGTCTTTACATTGAGAAAAAAAGACTTTTCTACTGCAATGTGTGAACGATTCCTCTTACGCAATGCATGCCTTACTCTGAACTGCAACATAAGGTTATTAGCACACTCTTTCATGCCTGCATTATTTACAAAAATTTCAGAGGCAGCAATTCCAGCATTGACCAATATATCTTTCTTCATGGGGAAAAGAGCTGTGTATTTCCACCTTCAATAAAGCTCTGAAAACTATTTATTGATTATTTGTATAAGAAACTTACAACAGTCATTTGCTATCACATAGTCTCTTTCATACCAGCAGAGTAACACCTGCAGTATTATTGGGACTTAAGTTACACTTATTTCTAGCAAACTTAACTGAGCTCATAGTCCAACTGACAAATCAAAGATTACACAGCTAGTGAGAAAAAGAGGTAGGATTCTGCCCCAGATTTCC